GCGGGCGACGTTTAGCGGCGGCGCCTTGGGGCGGCCGGGCTATTTTAAGGCGCGACCTAATTGAATTGAGCAGCGGGGAGCAAATTATGGATCTGCCGCTTTGTCCTTCTTTAACCTTGACACATTTGCGCGGCCTCGTCGATGGAGGCCGACCTTCTCTCGTCGCCGTTGGAAAAGCGCCGCACTTCGTGAAGACGGCGGGCGACGTTTAGCGGCGGCGCCTTGGGGCGGCCGGGCTATTTTAAGGCGCGACCTAATTGAATTGAGCAGCGGGGAGCAAATTATGGATCTGCCGCTTTGTCCTTCTTTAACCTTGACACATTTGCGCGGCCTCGTCGATGGAGGCCGACCTTTTCTCGTCGCCGTTGGAAAAGCGCCGCACTTTTTCAACGTTTGCCGCCATTTCGGAGGGGATAACGCGCAAAAGCGGAGCGGCCAAATTCAACCCGCTTCCGTGGAAAATCAACGTCAGCCGCGGAACACTCCAAACGTTTGTCCGATTTGCGATTGCCGTCATCTCGTTTGCTTCCAAAAGTCAGGTAACGTTTCGCAGTTGCCAACTGACGTCACTCTTGATTCTATCAATCAATCAATCAACAATAATCAAGCTTTCCTGTGGCCTGGCCTTGTTTGGCCACCAGCAGTACTCCAGCGATTTTTTTTTTTTTGTACATTCAGCCTTTGCAGCATCCTGGGCCCCTTGTCCGGACGAGCGACAAGAGGAAGAAAAGTGGAAAACCATTCCAATGACTCTTCACTAGATTCTCTGCAGGGGGGCTGCATTTGTTTGCTCCGCAAGACCCTCCCCCCTCCCCCCTACCCTACCCCCGCTCCTCCAAACACATACGCTTTTGGTCCAGGGGCCGAAATTTTCCCAATGAATATCGATAGGAAAAGCTCTTGAATAAATAGTCCATACAACTGAAAAAGTTGCAGTAAAAATAAAGCAGAATAGACTTGCATTTTTTTTTTTTTTCAAGCAGCTCGTTCCCTCTTTGCGAATGATGGAACAACGACAAAGCATGGCGACAAGGCTGCGCGCAAGCACACATCACCGGTTCCTTTTCCACTTTGAGGCGCATCCGTGTGAAATGGGACCGGGGCACGTTTCAAAGGAATGAGAGGACCCACTCGAAGCGGTTGCGAATGACGTTGACTGTGTTCACGCCCACAAGGGCGCAAACTGTCCTTTTGGTTTTTTTTTTTTTTTGCGTCAATTTAAAATAACCAACACCGGGTCTAACACTCCTCCACGCAGATTTACGCCGCATTTGCGCCTGGCATGCAAATCGGGCCTATAATGTAGACAGCAGGTGTTTTCCAATTTGGGGGTGGGTTCAGGAACCCATTAGAGGTGATTTTTTTTCCCCCCCCATTACAAATCCTCATATCTTAGCTCGATTCAAGACCCCATGAAGTGAATTTCAGTTTAAGTTTGCTATCAAACAACTTAAAACAAAAGACACTCACTGTTGTGCATTCAAAAAAAAAACAACAACAAAAAAAGACCAAACCTTTGTCCTTAGCGTTTGCTAGCTTAACCCAAACACATCACGAGAAACGCCGTAGACAGGCTAACAAATCGTAGTCATGTGGCGGTTTTACAACCGTTAAGGCGACAGATATTTGAGCAACACACGTCGCTACCGGTAATCCAACACTCACGGGCCTATGTTCTTTATCCTCTGTGAAGAACGACCGTCTCCTTGTTGTGCTTTAGCACCATATGTCTGTATTTTACTGCCACCAAGTGGCCGAGGCGTGCACAACGGAACGAGCAACACAATGTCTGTTGAAGTGAAGCAAAGAAAAAAATAAATGTGGCAAAGACTTCTTGACATTCTGGTTGATTGTGTCATTATAATCGATGTTTTTTTTCTTATTCAAGGCACCGCTGTAAACATGTCATGCAAATGATTTTGCGGCTCCCCAGCAGTTTGAGAAGCACCGCTCTGAAGGCTACACCCCCCACCCCCCGATGCCGCTTGGCGAACCACAAAGCTCTCAACAGCTCTCATGGCTCACACGGGAGACAAACGAGGTTTAAAAACTTGAAGGCGGGGAGCGGGAGGGAGGGGGAGGCGGAATGGATGAATGCGCGAGGTGGGACCAACGGGGGACAACGCCGCGACGGAAGGAGAAGACGAAGGCGGCGTGAAAGGAGGAAAGAAAACGAGAGTTTAAGAGGAGTCGGCGGAAAAGAAGCAGAAGAGAAGAAAGGAGGAAGGGCACAAAAGTTGCTTTTCACAAACATTCGTCTTCAAATGACTTTCCGGGGACAACGCGGGGGAAATGCGATACTTCCTTGCGCTCTCACGTTTACTTTTCTTTCATTCGCAAGAGCGGAATCTTGCCACGCCAGATCATCGTAAACAATGTGCTAAAATTCACATGACATGAAACTTCTCACCTTATGACCTGACGTATCACAATTAAACCTTATAAATTTTACTTTATCATGTGATAAATATCACATTGCAGCGAGATACGGTTGACGTTTTAACAAAAGTTAGCACGTTCTATGGCATGATATGTTTTAATGTGATCATTTCAAGAAACAAAAACATGCTAAATTTGCAAAAAGTTACCAAACCCTCCGCCCGGGCACAAAAACGACAAGGCGGCCATTTTTCAGGCGAGCTCAGACTATTTTCTGTAACCAAAGTTTGAGATGAGTCAGGGGCGAGGCAACTCCAAGCCCAGAAAGGCGCACCACGTCCCCAAACACGCGAGTCTAGACTTGCCCCGGCACAAAAACTGTTAGGGGAGGGATGGGTTTCAGATCAGGCGCAGACTGCAGAAGGGTGGAATAGAATGTTACGTTTTGTGCAAGTCTCGCTCACGCAGCCAGACTGATTATAAAAATGATCATGCATCTCTGGTATTGTTCAGAGGGCCGGGCAAAATATGGAGGCGGGCCGTATCCGCCCCGTGAGCCGAGGTTTGGGGACCAACGCTTAACACGATCATCTGCCGTCAACGTTGGCAACACGCAGAAGGTTGAATGGAGACAGAGCTCCATCTAGTGGGCAAACTCTGCAAGTACTTCATCCTGATCGACTCCAACACTATTCGTGCGAAATCGAACTTAAGAACACGCGACGAGTGAATTAAAAACAACAAGATCAACAATGGGCCAAGAATTGAAGCCACAGCCCACATTTCAGGGGTAAACGTCGCCGACAATCGGCTTCATTTCATCGCGGCGGCCAAACTCACGATCCCAATTACAATTTGATGCGTTGTCCAGCCCGAGGAGAAAGAAGATGTTCATCCTTACGACGATTTTGCTCATCTCGGACTTTTTCATCATGGGACTTTTATTGGAAATAAACGATCTCGGTCCGCTCAAGGGGAGGAAGGAATGAGTCGGAGATGGGAGAAGAGAGCCGGGCAAACATCTGCCAAATCCACCGGCGAAGCCAAAGTCGCTGCTGGCGCGCCAACAAAAGCTTTCTTCAGGCGGCCGCGAGCCCTTTGCCAAGTTCTCGCCTAATCTTGCTCAAAAGAGAGCCGGCCCAGCGCGGCCGAGACCCCCCTGCCCGCCAAGTGCCTCCTCTTCGCTTCGACGCCGCTGCATCGTAAACAACGACAGCCTCGACGTGCTCATTCAAAACGGGACCGTTCGGGACGCGCACTTCCCGTAGATGCCGTTTCGACCTGCCCTGACACCGGCCGGCGACCAGTCCGTAGATTTGGGTTTCTGCACTTTTAGAAATGCGCAAGAGCAAGTTCAATCAAACACAAACGTGGTGGGCCCAGACTGCACACAAAACCACTTCAAGGAGGAAAAGAAGGACTGGAAACTTAAGAGGCAAACCAGAACCACTTGGAGCAGAACTTCTTGACGAAAGAACCACAACCACATTTTAGACCCAAGCCAAGTTTGGGAAGGAGCAAAACCATATTTGAGATCTGATCAATTCTTGGAAGTGCACCAGAACCACTTGGACCTACTCGGATCGACCCGATACTGATCCTGTATTGTGCAAAGACGCAGATCTTCATTTTTTTTTTTTATTTAAATGTTGGATGTTGAATGCCAGCAGCTGTTTGAGCGAAGTGGCTTTTTGAAATCACGTTGGGTCGATTTGAAATCAGTTGCGAGTTGAGTCAACTTGTTTCCAAGCGGTGCCAAATGCGGCGGAGTCTGACCTTGTTGGAGCGTCAGGAAGATGTGCAGCGCGGCTCGCAGCGTGCGGGCGGCCTTGGCGTCCATGTCTGCCGGGCGGCCTACCGGGCGGCCTACCGGGCGGCCGGGAGTCACGTCGCCAAAGATCTCGAACGGGTCTGCGAGGGCGGCGCAGCAGCGAGGCGGAGCACCGCTGAGCGACTTTCACAGCACATCCGTGACGCTCGGAACCGTCCGAGCTGCTGCTGCTGCGCGTCCACTCGCGATGCGCCTCGTCTCTCTTTCTCCTCCTCTTCTTTTGGGACTTTTTTTTTCTCCTGTGTTTCTGTCTCTCTCTCCTCGGAGGAGGACGCAAGCAAGCTCCTTGGTCTCTTCTCTCTTTCTGTCAATGAGCGGGCGAGTCGCGGTGGGACGCGCCCGTATGCACCCCCCACCCCCCACTCCCCCTCCCAGCCCGCGCGCACACCGCCCGCGGCCGCGTCACTCTCAATCCGACAC